TTCTACATCTCTCTCTCTCTCTCTCTCTCTCTCTCTCTATATATATATATATATACATATATATATATATATATATATATATTGGTTGAGATTATTTATTTATTTTTATTTTTTATTTTTTATCTTTTTTTTGACAATAATTACAACCTTAAACGATCAAAGAGCATAACCAAACTTGGTTATAAGATATAATTTTGGCATCGAAAATTCTTAGGATGGCGCATAATCTATTTTCATCTATGATCATAAAATTTTAAACTCCAAAAATAGTTAAATCAAGCTGATCTATAATACATGAAAATATTGAAAATAGATGACCACATAATGTTGCAAGATGTACTATTTTTAAGACTTGAAATCTTTCTTTCTCCATATTCATGTATCTGGATGTCAAGGTCATCAATTAGATGTTTTTTTTCAAAGGATTTTTTAATTCTATATTTCAATATGTCAAACCTTATATGAACTTTTTCCAAAACAAAAAGTTCTACAATAATTGGCCAGGGTAGAGAGCAAGTATACTACGCTCCTGTAGGAGCATACAACGTGCTACGTCCTCAGGCAGAAGACAACTTAGAAATATTTATTTGACTCAATTTTGAGAGAACCACCTAAAAATTACTAGATGATTATATTCAAAAGAAAAAAAATAATTGAATTATGCGTTTTTTAACACTTAAATCTCCTCTTTCAAAATTCGACGGCTTCTTTTCAATCTTGAGGCATTATTTCATCCAAGCCAAAGAGAACGGAAGTTTCTTTTGTTAAGTATAGCATATGTTGAAAAGGTTACATTCTCAAAATTTGGGGTCCTATATATACTCCTAGATTAAGTTTTACCCGAGAGAGTAACCATAACTGATAGTATACTCCCTTGGAAGCATGAATCTTTTGGCCTTTAGACACATGAGAAAAAAAAAAAATCTTTCCCTCTTTTTCTATCTTGAGAGAAGCATCCTTTGGGAGCATCCAATTTCCAATAAGCTTTTAAGATAATTAAGAATCCAACAAAAGACTCACATAATCAACATGAATAAACTAGGGAACTCCCAACTTCGGATCTCCACCGTTCATGGCTCATTGGACGGTTGATGCTGATTTGGACATGCTATAATATCCACCTTTAGTATCCATGTATCCACCTTTAGTATCCATGTAACATGGACACGTATGTTTATAATTTATTTTTGCATGTATAGTGTCACATGTGAGATCAGAATACTTGTTCCTAGTATATATATGAACTTATACCCTTTTTTGTAAAATTTTCCTATAAAAATAAAAATACATAATGTTACTTAGGATAGTCCCCGCCACTAAACAGTATACAAGCATATTACATCTAAATGGTACATCTAAAGCTCATATTAAGTCAATTTTGTGATTGGTACATCTAAAGCTCATATTAGTATCATGCACTGATATGCCTCTAAGTGTCGGTATAACATAGGTGGCTATAGCATAAAATATTTGATATAATCACTGGAAATATTTTTTGGTATTTTTATCCTTTTTAATGGTATATTTGTAATTCTTTGGGCACCTATTTCATTGAATTTGGATGATTTTGTAATCATTCATGTAACTAATGGAGATTTATTTAAATAAACCTCATGTGACCTCATTTTTTTCATTTAACATTTTAAAAAACTAACCTTGTGAAGTTATCAAAAACAAAAAATTTCCATGACTATTACATGTCATCTATGAGGTCCACATATTGCAAGTTATAAACGTATGAAATTTCAACTATTGTTCTTTCTTTCTTGACTATAAATGACCACAGCAACAATGTAGTTTAGAAAAGCATTTCCATTTACACCAATCTCTCTACAATTGGGTTTTACTTTTCCCTCCCATAAGTAGGGTTGGAAATGTGTCGGGTTGGGTCTGGGTCCGGACCATATATATATATATATATATATATATATGACAAATAGATCTAATGTAA